ACTGATCATAGGAATTTTAATAATCTTCAGATTAAACAGACTGTTCAGGAGACGCACACTGCTCACCTGGGAACATCCATTCGTTCTTGGTACACCACGATGTATCTCTGGGGATATGTAAAACCTGGTTAGAAAAGAAAAAGATATCAAAGGGTCAGACTTAGGACCCCTAAGGAGGACATGAAGAAATTACTCAAGGTGGGCTGCCTGCTTGGTAGAGCTCAGGGTTGTGAACTCCAAGGTCAAGGGTTCAGATCCGCTTACCAGTCAGCCACCTCCTTCCCCAAAAATCACTTAAAATAGGACTTTGTCAAGGTTAATTTTAACAAAATGTAGTAGTCAAGGTTGAACCTCCTGGCTCTGTTGGCTTCTCCTTCCTAGGCTGATAATATTGGGCAAGTTCTGCAGCTACTGCTGCAGCTCCTACTAGCACCCCAAGTCAATTTGTAAAAAATATATATATTCTATATGTAGTATAATTATATGCAATATATAGTAAACGTATTATAATATATAAAATATATAACATGTGTAATATATTATAAAATGAATATATATAATATTTATTATATATTATTATTATAATATATAAAAAATAAACTGGGTAAAATGGCTCCAGCAGTGGATGTTGAAGCACATCATCAGGTCAGAGCTTTGGGGAATCCCTAAATCAACCCATATAGTTTCAAAAACTGGCCTGCGAATGGCATCTCTTCCAACATTTCAGAAGTCCTAGAAACTGTCCTAGGCAGTTTTATGGGCACTACACAATGCTTTGCTGTATTTGCTTTATTTGACACAATGGTTTACTTTGCCCAAATGATCAAGAAAGGGTCGGGGCTGGAGCTGACAATATGTTACAGGTTTTTTCTCTGTCTCTGAATTGGGCTAATTGAATACATCTGAGTGTGGCCCCTGTTACAAAAGCACTTGAAGCTTCCCAGCTCTTTTTAACTTCCTGTTGTCTGAGGAGGTCTTAGTCCCAGATCCAGCAAAATGAAAGCCTCGGAGGTGTTAGGACTGCTTTCACTTGTTTCCCTGACTTGGATGAGTTCTGGGCAAGAGCCAGGTATAAGAGTGGACCTTGCCTGCTGGTACTCTGAAGGGGTAGTTTCTCAATGACCATGAGTCACGGGGCTTCTGGTTGCTAGGATTTTATTACCCCACCTTAAAAGTTTGGGAACTCAGTAACTCTCATTAGCTGCATTCTTTCTCTCTCCTTTCGGTCCAGTTAATACTGTTAAATGAGTGAAGGAGTGTTGCACTCAAGTTGCTGTTATTTTCTCCGAGGTTTCTCAGTCTCTCCTCTTCTCCCATTTCGTCCTACTTAGAGCTACTGGAATTTCCCACTAATTCATCCTTGGGCCAGCTGCTCTTCCACATGACTCTTTCTCTTCCTATTGCTGGTACCTCCTCTGTTCTTTCACCTGAATTGTTCAACCACACATTCTTAAGTGGCCTCCCTCCTCTAACTGCCTCTCTTCCCCTCCAGAAAATCTCTATATAAATCTTCTTAAGATACAACTCTAACCAAATCCCTTCTAAAACACTCCAGTACTTCCTTGCAGCCCTGTTTGAAGCAAAGACTGGCTTTCAGTATCCTATAAAGACTGACCTCAAGCTACCCTCAGATCCAGGTTTCTGACTGCTCCCCAAAGAACTCAGGAGGGACTTCAGATGGCTTGTTTCTCCACTGACATTGCAAGGTCTCTCTCCTGCACCCAAAGAGATTCTGGTGTAGAACCCTCCAACATCTTCAGGCCATGCAGACCATAGAGCCTTGGCCATCTCAAAGGAGGCAGACGTTAATTTAAAAATCTTGCAGATATATGAACTGTTCTAAATGCTCAGAGGAAAAGTAAGATAGATTGTGAATGCATGTAACAAGTAGAATTGATGGTGTCCTAGAGAGACAGAAGAGGTTTCCTGGAGAAGTCCTATTTGAAGTAAGATCTTGGGGATAATATTGTCTTTGCTTAGGCGAAAGTTTGGATGTTGGGAAGCAGAAAACACTCCCTTTTTACCTTAAACCAAAAAAAAAGAGCTGTCCCAAATGTTTTTCAGAGGTAGTAATCTGTGTCCACGCTGCTGAAATATGACCAAGATGAATGAAATATAAAGAGGCTGAAAAAAGTTATTTGAGCAAACGAAAGGGGTAGAGAGAGCAGTGGAGAGTTTTGAGATACAGAAGGGGTGTTAAGCAGGACAATTCCCTTGGCACAAGGTGTTCTCTAAAATAAGCCTTTCTGATAGGTATGGTAAAGCACTGTTATAGTGGTTATCTGAGGTCTGGTGGAAAATATAGAAGTCGTGTGAAAGCTAGAAATAGAGTATTTGGTTTGTGATTGAAGCATCAAGACTCAAAAGTGAGGCAGATAGAAAAGAGAATTAAAGAGGAAATCCCCATTGTGCTGACACCCACAACAAACAGCACAGTTTCTGCCCATTCCCCAAAGCCATCTGGCCCTGCCCTAAGGCACACTATCCTGAGTATCAGGGCCTGGCTTTGCTTCTGTTGCAGGTACCAGATGGAGCAGGGTCTTAATAGCTCATGTTCAAAACTTTTATCTTTTCCTACTTACAATGGAAACCCTAATCAGGAGAATGGTGTGCTAAGTGTGTTGTATTGGGGTTGACAAGGTCTCAACTGCCTATAATGTCCATTTCAAAGCCTCACCTGATGCCTTCCCCCAACCCGCCATCATCACTCATAAAACTACTTTAGATAGATGAAGGATTGCAGAAGGTAGAATTCTAAACAGAATTCTTGCGAACAGGTTGCCCCATGTGGTGGAGCCCCAGCCTGAGTGCCAGGTTGACTCCTGACCAGATTATAAACTTGGTCACCAGAAGCCCTTGAGTCCCTATTTTTCTCAACTATGAAAGGTGAAGAATGCTTTTTAATTTCCAAAGGATATTAAAAAGTTCAACTTTAAAATAATAAGTTGAAATAATAAATTGAAACAGTTGTCTTTTTTTCCCAGTAGTAGGGCATAACCTGTTAAAAAAAAAAAAAAAAAAAAAAAAAGGCATTTGAGGCTATTAGAGCTTATTGTCCAGTATCCCTTAGGCTTTTTCACTGACGATGAGTAACATTAGTGCAATTCCTATATGTTATGTTTACCCTAAGTATGGAATCTTGCCCTAGTGAACTCAGGCAGGTTTATATGCGCTCTTTCTATTACTGTCTCTAGAAACACCACAATATTTCAGGTTCTTCCCGAGAAGCTAGAACCTGAGCCAGAGCTTTCCTCCCTTTCCTGCCAGCAAGGTCCACGCTATACTTCTGTTTCTGTCCTTCCAGCTTTAAGCACAGGTGTAGTGGGTGGTACCAGAATTCTCAATTTCCGTTTCACATTTCTCTCTTCATCTATTTATCTACCGTGAGCTTGACTTGCTAGCAGTAAAAATGGAGTAGTAAACAGCCTCTACCTACATGGATCTTCAATTGTAATTGGAGAGAAAAACACTTCAAAAAGTAGATAACTGATAATTCCAGATTATGATAAGGGCTTTGGTAGAAATAAATAGGGTGATGTCACATGGATATAACTATGGAAAAGAAAAGCCACTTGAATAGGACACTCAGTGTAAGGTCTCCTGAGAAGGTGATGTTGAACTGGGACATGAAATAAAAGTCAGCAAGGTAAAAATCCAGAGGAAAAGCAGTCTGGGTATAAGAAACTGGGAGGGTGGCAACCTTGATAAAACAAAAGGAGGTGGGTATGGCTAGAGAGTACCTATTAAAACAAAAAGGTACTGCTCCCTGGGTCACTTTGGAAATTTATACTGCTTTGTTCTGAATAAGATTGGAGGGAAAGAAGGTATGCCATACAGTCTGAAATTCAAGGAGCAATCACTTACAGCAAAGAATTGCCCATGTCCCACATGAATTTCACCTATTTCCTTCATTCGTGTAGATGGAAATCTGTTTGTAATGATCTGAACCTAAAACTTACCCTTCATTTACATATAAACAGTCTTTTCCCCCAGCTTTATTGAGGTATAATTGACAAATAACAAATGTATGTACTTAAGGTATACAACACGATTTTTGATGTAAGTATACATTGTGAAATGATTACCACTACCAAGATAATTATACACCATCTCCCAGTTACATTTTGTGGTGAGAACACTTAAGATCTACTCTCCTAGAAAATTTCAAGTATTTGATACCTTATTAACTATAGTCACCATACTGTACATTAAAGCTCCAGAACTTATTCGTTCTGCATAACACAGAGTCTTTTTATACAAGTTATATATACAAAGCAAGGGAAAACCATACATAGTTTTGCTTGGAACTTTACTGAGTTGTTCATCCTTCAGGAAAAATCTCACCACTGAATGGAAGGCTACTCTGGTACTTGAAATCTCTATCTGTATTAGCGTTAGTCTCAAGCTTGCTGACTCTATAGTACATACATATCAGGGTATTTCAAAAGGTCTGCCTGAATCGCTACCAATTGATATACATATTACTTTAAACTGTTTTCCTTTTATTTATTTTATAATTAGTGAATTATAGTGATTTTTAAAAAAATATATGTAGATTAGTTATCTATGGATTTTATTTAGGAATAATAAAGGACGTATTAAAATTCCTTATTGTAAAATTGGAGCATTGGGTCTTCTAGTTGAGACTCTCTGGGCTAGCACTTAGCAAATCAAGAAAGGTTAGTTGGAAAGGGATTCAGGGACCAGGGCGAGAAGAGTGTTACAGGCCATTAGAATTTCAGATTTTATACCAATTGCAATGGGAAGCAATTAGAAAGTTGTATGCAAGCTGGTGAAATGATCTTATCTGCATCCATGTTTGCAGTTGATCTAGAAGAACAAAACTGAAGGTGGGGCTCTCCTTCACAAGGCTACTGAGGTAGTCCAGGAGAAAAACTACCGGAAGTGGTAGTTTGGGACAGGGTATTGATCATGAAGAAGTGAATAGATGTAAATAAATTCTGAAAGTAAAAGTGAGAAGACTCAGTGGTAGACCAGATATGGGTATGAAGGAAAATAATTAGAAATAAATCCTAGGGTCTTTGGGCTTGGACATTGGACAAGGATAAAACAAATATGAGAGCAGGGTAAAATCAGGAGTTCTGTATTGATCATGCGCCCTACTGAGACAACAATTTCAAATATCGTCTTGAATATCTAGAAGGTAATTGGAGAGAAGCCTCTAAAACTCAGGAGGAGTCTAAGCCAGGAGTAAAATGTGTGCTCTGATTTCATAATTGAAGGTAACGTAGTATAGTCCAAAGAGCAATGAGCCAAGCCTGGTTTCGGGTCCCAGCTGTCTACTAGTTCTGTGATCCTGCGTGAGTCACTCCATTCTCTCCGTATGTATTGCACACCTGCTCCCATGAGGCACACAGCATAGGACCTACTTTCAAAGGGCTCAAGTTTTACAAGGACACTAGGTATGGGGGAACTTAGTATCTCGTTGAGTGCCCTAATAAAGATGGAACCTATTCTGCTCTACTAAAGGGATGGCCACTATGGTTCTTTCTCAAGTAAAAATTCTGAATGTAGTGCAATTGATTCTAGCTATTTAGGGAGTGTCATGGAGGAAGGGGGACTGTTTCAGAAGGGTAAAAAGAGGGAAGTAGGAAAGGAATCATTTTTACACAAAACTCCATTTCTTTTAGCTAAAAATAGTCTTCCCTCATGTGACGTGGTTTTGGTTTTTGCGGGGTGGGGGTCGGGGTGGCTGGCTGATACAGATATAGAACCCCGGACCTTAGTGTTATCAGCACCTTGTTCTATCCAACTGAGTAAACAGGCCAGCCCACTTTGAGCAGTTCATTGAAATAGAATTGCGAATTGATTTTCTTTTTCTCCTGTTTTAACAGTGTTGGTGGAATGCAGCCGTCTTAATTTTCGTGTTATAGCTAAAAGAACTCTACTTTATAGAGATGAACTTGTAGGTCCTGATGAATTGTTTCTAGGGACTGGCTGTCAGGCAATTAGAGTGAGACCAGATGAAATTGAGTTTGACTATCCTGTTAGTCTCTGCGGAATTGAAACACAGGTAAGAGAAATAACCATTTAACCTACTACCATCTGTAAAGTCTTTGAAGTGTTGTTTAATGTTTCTTCTTATAATATGCTACTGTGATTGCCAATTGGTGCCATAGACTGGGTGCAAGCCTAGGAGGAACATGAAGAACCTTCTCTCCATATTCATTCATTCACCAGAGACCTACTTTGTGTAGGATTCAGAGTGAATAAGAAACTCAAAGACCTTTCTCTCAACAGGCTTACAACCTATTGGGATACAGCACGCATTACATGTATAGCCTGAAAGAGTATCCAGCATTTCCACGTATTTTCTAATGCTCNACTGGGTGCAAGCCTAGGAGGAACATGAAGAACCTTCTCTCCATATTCATTCATTCACCAGAGACCTACTTTGTGTAGGATTCAGAGTGAATAAGAAACTCAAAGACCTTTCTCTCAACAGGCTTACAACCTATTGGGATACAGCACGCATTACATGTATAGCCTGAAAGAGTATCCAGCATTTCCACGTATTTTCTAATGCTCGTAAAATTAATATAAAATATATATTATAAATAATATAAAATAATACAAAATAAAATTATTGTTATCCCCACTTATGTAGATTAAGGAATTAAGGCACAAAGGCCAGAGATGTAACCAAACTTAAGAAGTTAATATACAGTAGAGCCAGGGACAGAAACCAGGTTTGCCGATGCCTATTCTAATAAGCCTTTTGTTTTGTTTTGTTTTGAATTATGACTCTGGGATAAGTAGGATATAATGTATAACCAGTTTTGTGGAAATAATTTCATGAAATTAAAATCATGAATTGCCAGGCTAGAAACAAGGGCAACAGCTTCAACTTAAAAATGAGATGTAACCAAACTTAAGAAGTTAATATACAGTAGAGCCAGGGACAGAAACCAGGTTTGCTGATGCCTATTCTAATAAGCCTTTTGTTTTGTTTTGTTTTGAATTATGACTCTGGGATAAGTAGGATATAATGTATAACAATGGTAAAAAGAAATTACTCCAGGGAGTTCAAAGAAAAGAAGGTTCTGAGATGTCTATTTCTTGCTCAGAAATGGACTTTACTTGTTCTCTATGTCACGAAGATGATTGAAAATATACTCATAGTATTTCAACATCAGAGTAAGAAGAGCTTGGGGAAGGTTTCGATAACGTAGGTTTCTACCGCACCCAAAGTGAGCGTAACATATCCAATTTACCTTGTCTTAATTTGTGCTGCTTTATACACGAGGCTAAATATGTTCTGCCATCAATCTGCCCTTCAAGTCACAAGTAAGGGAAACCTTGGATATGTTGACATGATGTTCTTTCAGTGAGTCCTCTCCACTGACCCATAAGTATCATGGCCTGAGAGCACAGTTTATGCTTGCCCAGAACATGCAATTACACCAGCCCTGTGTCCACCCCAGCGAGGTGTTTATGACTCACATATCCTTCAAACATCTGCCATGAAGAAATCCAAAGGCATTTGGAGGCACTTTTAGTGGTTAAAAGCAGCTGTCACTACTAGAGCTTTTGGCAACAGCCTAAACCAGTGGTTATCAAGTGGGGATGATTTTGCCACCTAGGGAACATTTGATGATGTCTGGAGGCAATTTTAGTTGTCACTACTAGTGGGAGGATGCCACTGGCCTTTAGTGAGTAAAGACCAGAAATGCTGCCTAACACCCTACAAGGCACAGAACAGCCCCTCATGACAAAGAATTATCCAGCATAAAATGCCAATAGTGTCAAGGATGAGAAACATGGTCTCAAGATGAGAAACAAGGATGGTCTCAATCATCACACCTGCCTTCTCTCCTACCTCGGTATTCTAAGCAGCCTTTCACTAAGGAGCTTAGAATCATTATAACTGAAACAGCTTAAACTCTGATGTCATTGCTATACAATCCAGATGAGGGCATTTCATATTTTTTAAATTGCATTTCTTCTGTCTTACCACTTGATTTAAATAGCTGAATGAGATAATTTATTTAGACTCCAAGAAACATATGAGTCATTTGTCTTATAGAATGTTATGTAGCTAATAAATTTATGCAATAATTAATGACATTGCAATCTCTCTATTGAAGTTGGAAAACAGAAGATATACATAATAGTGTGATCTCAATAGTGCAAACAACAGAAGGCTCAGGTGGAAATACAATCAAATACTTACAGAATTGAACCCACGATGATATGATCATAGATACTGCATCTCATTTCTTGAACACCAAATACATTTCAAATGTTCTCTATGGGGAGTACATATTTTCTGTTAAGAAAACACAACTGATTAGCACAAATATGTAATACTAATTAGCTATCCTCCTTTTGGCTAATGTCTTCAGAAACTTGAAAAACTGAAGTAAAGAGAAAGTATATTTCAACTGAGAGATATCATAAAGTATTTCAAATGAAAGAATTTAATTGTCTTGCATTTTAAAACCTTTTCTTGTAGAGCAATTTTTCCACTAAGTAGCTGTGAAAATTTTTTCCCCTAGAATTCTGACCTGAGGAGGCTAATGAAAAACCTTCAAGGTCAACTGACCCTTAGTTGCCAATTCTATTAAAAAATTATATGCCATGTGTTTTTGTTCTATTTTCTGATTAAGCTAAGTGCTTCTGCTTTGCCAGAGAGAACTATAATCACCTTAGTTGGGATAAATATCTTGATCTCTAGAGATATTGGAGTGGCCAACTTTTTATTTGGACATACTAAAATATGTGTGGCAAATGAACATGCATTTCAAAAGTCTCTTTTCCCACCAGATTTTCTATGATAGAGTTGTCATTCAATCCTGGCTTACCTACACACCAAGGAATCAATTAATTTCTGCTGAACTTCATTTGAATTGTATGGTTCCCAGGTCAGTCAAAAATATCCTTTGGCTTCTTCCTTAAATACCAATAGCTTTTTGCTGAAATGTATCATCTCTTACCCAGAGACACTGAAAATCATGACTTTTTATAGGTTCTCAACCTTACATCGTCTGCCCATGTTATTTAATTTCTACTGCAGTCCACTATTCAGAGGTCAAAACTCAGACCAAATGAGTTACACAAAATTACAAAGTCAGGAGTGGACCTCACCTCTTTATTCTATACCCTTGATTCTTTCTATCTACTCTCCTGCAGATTGTGAGGACATGCTGTCAACCCTAATTCATGACACCGACATTTGACACACAGTGTCTACAGAGGTTTCTGTAGAAGTTTGCAGGTTGGCTTTGACTCCACAATTCAAAAGGCTCTGAGTTGTACAGAAGAGTTGGGGTTTGTTAAAATAAATAACAATTCATTTCCCCTCCTGAATTTGAAATCAATTAGGTAATAAATTGCATAGAAGATATAGCTTATTTCTAATAAAGCCGATAGGCAAATGACGCTTTAGAATCATAGCTAGAACTCCTCCTACAAGCCCACTGTGAAATAAATTTGTTGACCAAGGAGCAAGAAGAATTGGATAATTACAGGTCTTCCTTGAGTGCAAAAAGCCTGCCCAGTAAGCTGACCTTCCGGCCACAGAGCAGACCAGAAAGTGGCCCTGTGAAGAAAGTCTGTCTCCAAAAATTCAGTGAGACTGAACTAAAAGTGATCGGTTCCTTCACCCAAATTCACTACGAAATAATGCTTTCCTGGTTCACTGAAGAGAATTAAGGGAGAAGGCCTGGAGAAGATAAAACTGCTCCTCCGATAGTTTCCACTCCTGGAGAGTGGACCAAAAATAAATCTTTCTTCTCTGGAAACTTAAAAAATTAAAACACTCCATTAAACAAAATGAAAAAATAAAATTCTCTAGTTTAAGCAGTAAGTATATAATTTCTTATAAGAAAATTGGAATTAAATAAGGAGAAAAGATTAGAATGTTTGCTAAGCATAGATTCTGCTAGGTAACAACTTTTGAGCAAAAGTGCTGCTTGGCCCTTGCTAATAACAATAACCTCATTTATTGAACTTTTATTATGTGATAACCACAAGTTTACATGAGCTTCAGGCATTTTAATCCTCATTATCGACCCTATGCACAAGTCACTAATATTATCCATATTTAATGACTTAGAAACTTAGGTACATACACATTAAATGATTCATCAACTTCACACAGCTAGAAAGTCCCAGGTTTAATTCTAGGCAAAATAGCTCAAACAACTATTTTACATCACTATGCTCTCCCATTCTGTGCTGGTTGATAAGCTCTTGTCTCTCATCTTCCAACCTGACTGGACCCTGACTGACATAGTGTTTGGAACAAAAGTAATAGGACTTCAGTAACTCTTGGCAACCTAGTAAATAAACTTCAAGAGATTCTAGGAATTTCATGCCTGAGACTAATCATCTTGCAGCAAAAATTACTACAACACACTGTAGAAGTTTTTCTAAAAATAGTTTTGCTTGAATTTTTTTTTTTTAATTCAACAGAGAACAGTTTCTGTGTCCATAACTTATTATCTCACAGTGGGGGATTCGGTAAGAGTGTTGAACAAAATAAAAAGTTATAGCTGTTAAAGCAAGGCCTGGTAGTACCTGAGCCCAAAGTTCAATCCCAGGAATGACAACTCTGAAGCCTTTGTAATGCTTTTTAATTCCTTTTTTTTTTTCTTTCAAAGCTCCTATGTCTTACCTGATGAGTCTTCTAACAACTCCCTGTTGAGCAGCATGTATGCCGTTCCCCTTTCTGAACCTCAACACTGGTTCTTGATACAGTACAGAGTCTGTGTGAGATGTAACTATGCTCACTTCAGAGATAACTGGGTAAGGATACCTACAAAGGCCAATATTTAATGTACCCAATCAGGTATTTTATGACCAAAAAAATGTATTAGGGGCAAGTAAAAAACCAGGTACATATAAACCCCCCACTGAGGCCTGAATGACATACAACTCAGTAGTGGAGGTGTACAAACAGGAGTATATGGAATCCTCTCTCGTAGCTCGTATCACTCCGTGTTTGGTATTAACATGAGCAAGACCCTACATTCACCAGTCTCATAACTTTCTCCTCACCCTAGGATGTTTTTCCTTGGCAGTAAGAATCTCATTTTACAGAGTTCAGAACTGAACATCTGAGTCCAAAACCCATAACTGTAATGCAAGGAGGGGTCGATATGTCCAGGAGTTGCCAGTTTCAAACATCTTATTTTTCACAAAGAGACCAAATGTTTTAAGGTTGGGGAGGGGCCTTTGAAGGAAATGTGCAGGCTAAATTATATGGATTATACGACGGAGTCCATTTCAAAAAATTTTTTTTCAAACATATAGGACTGCTTTGATTTTTTTCTTTTTCTATAATTTTTAGGAGACAGGATCTATGTTGTTTCTATTCTTAAAATTTGGACTATCCCAAGACTATCCGCAATGTAGCTCATATCTGGGAATTATTTTTTAAAAAAATTATATCCTGAAATCAGCCTGGTGTATTTTAGCTGGTTCCATTTCCACGGGTGTGAGCTCACAGAGAGTCCTCCCTCTCTTTTGAACAATATCCTTAAAACTTGAGTCTTATAAATACTATATATCAGCTGCTTATGAACTTTCTTTTCCCACAGTCAAGACCCTTTTATGGGCCACGCAATCACTCAATTCAAAGACATTTGGACAATTCTTTCAACTTCAAATTTTAGAAGCTCAAGTCCTTGGACATTCAGCAGCAACATAAAGGAACCCAGTTTAATGATGTGATATGGTATTTCATTTTTATATATTTGTGTGTTTTTAATTCATTTTAATCTATTGTAATCCCCTTCATGATGCCTTTGAGAAGAGGCCATCAGCGTTTTTAACTTTTAATGTGGTTGATCGCAAATTCATGAATAAATCTTGACACACCTTATTGTATCTCTGTATTTATTGTATCTGTAATTTAGCTAATATAAATTTAATTAATTTAATTCTAAGCTGCTGGTCTGAGTTACCAGGAAGGGAGTAAGGTTATTGCCAATCTTGTTTTCTATAGCTATTTAATACTCAACTTTTGAAAGCTGGTCCAAGTTATATGCAGTACTGTGGCCTGTAAGCTTACTTGGAAAAGAGTAAGTAGAAATTGAAACCTACCAGAAGCATAGAGAGTTGAGAAGGGCAAGTGAAAAGGATGTCTATTTAGATCTATCCCAACCATATTATTTTGTTATAAATTCAAAGGGTTGCATTTGAGATCTAATGATTTGCCACTCCCTTAGTCACATCCTCCTGACAGGGCCAGAGCAATCAGGCAAGAGAAAGAAATAAAGGGCATCCAGATTGGAAAGATGAAGTCCCTATTTGCAGATGACAGGATCCTAGACATAGAAAAGCCTAAAGACTCTACAAAAAAACTTCTGAGTTGCTCAACGATTGCAGCAAAGTTGCAGGATATAAAATTAACACACAAATATCACCAGCATTTTTATACTCTAACAATAAAGTAGCAGGAAAAGAAAGCAAGAAAACTAGCCCATTTATAGTAGTCATCAAAAAAATAAAATACCTAAGAATAAAGTTAATCAAAGATGTGAAAGATCTCTACAATGAGAACTACAAATCACTGTTGAAAGAAATGAAAGGACACAAAAAGATAGAAAGATATTCCATGCCCTTGGATTGGAAGAATTAATATTTTAAAATGTCCATACTACCCAAAGTGATGTATAGATTCAACACACTCCCCATCAAATTACCAATGACATTCTTCACATAAATAGAAAAAAAAATCCTAACAAAAGACCCCAAATAGCCAAAGCAATCCTAAGCAAAATAAATAAAGCCAGAGGCATAACACTACCCAACTTCAAATTATACTACAAAGCTATAGTAACCAAAGCAGCATGGTACTGGCATAAAAACAGACACATGGACCAATGAAACAGAACAGAGAACCCAGAAGTCAACCCATATATCTACAGCCAACTGATCTTCGACAAAGGCACCAAGAACATACATTCGGGAAAAGACTGCCTCTTTGATAAAGGGTGCTGGGAAAATTGTACATCCATATGTAGAAGAATGAAACTTGACCTGTACTTCTTGTCATATGCCAACACCAGCTCAAAATGGATTAAAGAATTAAATATATGTCCTGAAACTATAAAACTCCTAAAAGAAAACATAGGGGAAACACTTTGGGAAGTAGGATTGGGCAAAGACTTTATGAATATGACCCCAAAAGCACAGGCAACAAAAAGAATAATAAACAAATGGGATCATATCAAGCTAAAAATCTTCTGCACAGCAAAAGAAACAATTAACAGAGTGAAAAGACAACCTACAGAGTGGGAGAGAATATTTGCAAACTATGCACCTGACCAATGATTAATATCCAGAATATACAAGGAACTCAAACAACTTAACAATAAAAAACAAGTAACCCTATTTCAAACTTGACAAAGGAGCCAAATAGGCATTTTTCAAAGGAAGATACACAATGGCCCCCAAACATGTGAAAAAATACCAATGTTACTCAGCATCCAGGAAATGCAAATCAAAACCATATTGAGATATCATTTCACTCCAGTTTGACTGGCTATTATCAAAAAGACAGAATAACAAGAACTGGCGAGGATGCACAGAAAGGGGAACACTCCTACATTGTTGATGGGACTGTAAAATGTTTCAGCCATATGGAAAATGGTATGGAGGTTCTTCAAACAACTACAAATAGAATTGCCATATAACCCAGCAATCCCACTGCTGAGTATACACCCAAAGAATGGAAATCATCATCTCGAAGGGACACCTATGCTTCCAGGTTTACTGCATTTACAATAGCCAAGAGTTGGAACCAACCTAAATGTCCAGTGTCAGATGACTGGATAAGAAAAATGTGGCATATTTATACAATGGACTACTACTCTGCCATATAAAGTAATGTAATACTGCCATTCACAGCAACATGGATAAAATTATGTAGAGAAAATTGGGTTAAGTGAAATAAGCCAGGCACAGAAAGAGAAATACCACATGTCCTCACTTACATGTGGGAGCTAATACAAAATTAATAAATTAATTAAAAAAGAAAGATACAACAATCACAATAATACATTAAACTTCTTAGAGAAGAAAACAGAATTGAGGTTACCAGAGGTGGGAAAGGGGGATGCGAGAAGGGGAAGAATTGGGCCATGAAAATTGATTACATTATATAATAAAGAATATACTAATTACCCTGATTTGATCATCACACATTGCACACGGGTATTGATATTCAATGCTGTACCTCACAGATATGTTCAATCAACTATGTCTCAATAATTAATTAATTAATTAATTAATTAAAAGAAAAAGAAAGGAAATCACTCAGCCTGGCTCTTGATCATCAGCACAACCAGTTTTGTGGAAATAATTTCATGAAATTAAAATCATGAATTGCCAGGCTAGAAACAAGGGCAACAGCTTCAACTTAAAAACGATCACACAGGAGCCAAAAATCATGACATGAGGCAGGTGGCTGGTTCATGAGCAGGCGATTNGATCACACAGGAGCCAAAAATCATGACATGAGGCAGGTGGCTGGTTCATGAGCAGGCGATTGGCATGGGATGTGGAAGAGCAAGTTGAAACCTCAAGTAAAGAAGTCTTCTTTCCCAGGTAGGGTAAATGGAGTGGAGAGTTACACAATAGAAAACAGCTACATCCAGAAGGAAGAATAAAAAATAGCTCTTTCCCAAGCATAAGGATAAACTAGG